GCATAAGCTCCAACAAGCAAGCGACTCGCATCGTTCCTTCTCCAGTAAGTCCAGTGCCTGTGACCGTACCAGATGCTTGGGCAATACGGGGCATGTGAATGAAACATAAAGAGAACCTCAGGGTTAGCACTGTGACATTATGCATAAAGTTGCCATCTGTGGTAGCGGTATCTCTTATGGGCGGGTTCAAATCCTGGCCATTCCACTTCCATCCAGCTTCCTGCTAATGCGCGTGGGAAAGTAGTCAAGGATGGCCCGGGTACTAGGGACCCAGTACACATGTGGACCTGGTAGAAGCTCCAAAATCTAGACTAGCCCAGCTCCAGCTATTGTGGCCATATGATGAATGAATCAGCAGATGAAAAAATCTCTCTCTTTCTCTCTTTCTCTTTCCCCAAGTCTGTGTGTTAGTTCATCCCAATGTCTGTAACTCTGTCTTTCTTCTTATGGCTTGGAAAAGCAGCAGAGGAAGACGGCCCAAAGCCTTGGGGTCTTGCACCCACCAGGGAGACCTGGAGGAGGCTCCTGGCTCCAGGCTTCAGATCAGTCCCTCTCTGGCCGTTGTGGCCATGTGGGGAGTGAACCAGCACATGGAAGATCTTTCTCTGTCTCTCCTTCTCTCTGTAAATCTGTATTTCAAATAAAAAATAAACAAATTAAAAAAAAATAAAGACAATCTAAATGCAGTCAAAAAAGGCTTTATTAGGTTGTATAGTCACTCTTTCCTCAAACAGATGGTAATACCTATTTTACCAATTTATGATTTATACTCTTTAATTAATAAGAATATGAATAAATCGGATTAATTGCAAACATAAATGAAATACGACACGTATTCCTGTGTTTGCCACTGGAAAAATGACACTGTAGAGATGAAAATAAATGTGAAAGGATGTGCCTATCGCCGGGATGTGTATCACTCTGAAAACAACAACACTCCAACTTTCCAAAGTACCTGGCAGTTTACAACATGCTCATATTTGATCATCGGAAGAAGGCAGCAATGTAAAGCATTTATACCAGTCTTCAGTAAGAAAATATCTAGTGGTTTCTGAAAATCACAGCTTGCCAAAGATGCCTGATGTATCACTAACAATCCAACTGGAAGCGTAAGGATGGCACTCTATAATGGAGACTGAAAGAAGTCTATAATGGCCGTGTACATCCCTAGTACTCAGCCCAGGCCAGTTCCGGGGTGCAGTTCTAACAGGTAAGGAATGAGATGCTGGAAGCCCGGAAAGTCTGCTTTCAGCTCCATCACAGGAAGCTATTACCATGCCTACCATTCCTCTGGGCTGTATTGATTGATGTAGCTGCCTGGAGGTAGTGACAGCGGGCTTGGGGACTCGGTACAGGTCCTGGGAGAATCCTGGGGTCAGGCCAGCCCGGAGCCCCTCCTCTGTCCCATGCTTCCTGCTGCTGTTTCCTTGTTTCCCAACACTGTGTCACAGTCACCCTGCTGGCAGAGGGCCACAGTGATGAGTTCCTGAGTTACTCGGGGAAACCAACACAACATTTCCATTTCAACAGAAGAAGCCACCTTTGAAATAACAGGTTCCCTACCAATAACATTCTTGTTAAAAACAAAAGAGTTCTCACGTGCCAGAGTATGCTGAATTATTGCTTTGGTAGGCACTCCTACTTAGGAAAGCAGAAAGTACAGGATCTGCAGGTAGATAACTCACTCGACCCTTCCTTCAAAGTGACCTCAGTGGAAATGTTTTTTTTTTGTAATATTTCAGTCCTATCAATTTGCTTCTAGGTTCCTTTAAATTTATAAAAAAAATATATATTCATTTTTCTTTTTCTCTGTATCTCCTTCTCTCTGTAGATCTGCCTTTCCAATAAAAGAATGAATAAAATAAATCTTAATAAAGGGGGAATAGGATAACCATGCGGCTAAATTCTTGCCTGGCATCTGCCAATATCTCATTTGGGTGCCAGTTCCTACCCTAGCTAATCCACTTCCCACCCAGCTCCCTGCTTGTGGCCTGGGAAAGCAGTCGAGGACGACGCAAAGCTTTGGGACCCTGTACCCACGTGGGAGACTGGAAGAGGCTTTGGGCTCCTGGCTTCAGATTGGCTTATCTCCAGCCATTGCGGCCACTTGGGGAGTGAATCATCAGATGGGAAGATCTTCCTCTGTCTCTCCTCCTCTCTGTATATGTGACTTAGCAATAAAAATAAATATTTTTTTTAAAAAAATACATGTTGTCCTTACTAATTTGGAAGGCAGAATTGCAGGATTACAGAAGGAAGAGGAGACAGCAACAGAGGATATGTTCCATGCACTGGTTCACTGGCCAGTGGCTGGAACTGGGGAGACTGGGAGATCTTCTAGACCTCCCACGTGGATGCAAATGCTTGGGCCACTTTAAAAAAAAAACGATTTATTTATTTTTATTGAAAAGGCAAATATACAGAGAGGAGGAGAGACAGAGAGGAAGATCTTCTATCCAATGGTTCACTCTCCAACCGGCTGCAATGGCTGGAGTTAAGCCAATCCGAAGCCAGGAGTTCTTCAGGTCTCCCACGCAGGTGCAGGGTCCCAAGGCTTTGGGCCATCCTCGACTGCTTTCCCAGGTTACAGGCAAGGAGTTAGATGGGAAGCGGGGCCTCTGGGATTAGAACTGGTGCCCATATGGGATCCTGGTGCATTCAAGACGAGGACTTTAGCCACTATGCTATCGCTCCGGGCCCTGGGCCCACTTTTGCTGCTTTTCCAGGTACATTAGCAGGAAACTGAATTGAAAATGGAGTCCACACCGGATGCCAGCGTCACAGGCAGAGGCGTTACATGGTACACCACAACGCTGGTCCCAAAGTCTATTCTGCATACACTGAAGTAGACACTGGCTTTTAAAGCTCTCTGCACTCAATTTTTGAAAATTGTTTAAAATCTAGCAATAGTGAGAATGATTTGACCAATATATAAGAAGTCTTTGAGAAGTTCATGAAATACACTTATGATGAAAACGTGGATTTCAAAAGTTTTTACAACAAACCAAACTTATTTTTGAATTTCATTTTTACCATGAACTTTACTAGATTTTTAAAAATAATTCCATTTCCTACTTTAATTATGGAGAAAGTAAAACTCTAAAGGCTTGTTTTAAAAATTGATGGGGAGATGCTACCACAGTGGTATGGCATGTTAATTCTCTGCCTGCAGTGCCGACATCCCATATGGGCACCAGTTCTAGTCCTGGCTTCTCCACTTGCCATCCAGCTCCCTGCTTGTAGCCTGGGAAAGCAGTCTCGAGGATGGCCTAAAGCCTTGGGACCCTGCAGCCACATGGGAGACCTGGAAGGAGCCACAGAATCCCAGCTTCAGAGCGATTCAGCTCTGCTTGTTGTGGCCCTTTGGGGAGTGAACCAGCACATGGAAGATCTCTCTCTCATCTCTGTAACTCTGACTTTCAAACTAAAAAAGAAAAACAAGTGTTGGGGAAGAAAAACCCCTCAGTGTTTGAAACAGCTGCTTACATTCTGGGAACTGTAATGCCAGCAGTAATAGCCACCAGCATTTGAAATAGAACCAAGAGGGGCCAAGAAGTTTGAAGAAAAAAAAATAGAAGAAGGTAGATGCTGGTGAGCCGCCAGGCGCGTTAGCACAGGGCTCCCACAGGGCCAGACTTCCTCTCACAGCAGAGGACACTGCAACTTCTCCGGCTTCCCTTACAAAGCATCTTCCTTCTGCCCCTGAGGGTAAACAGCGTGCGTTCTTACCGGATTCCCTGCTTCCCAGAAGAGACTGGCGAAGAAGAGGCTGCAAGACTAAGCTGTCTTGGGGAACAGATGCCCAAGTGTGGCCAAGCACGGTGCGGATTCGAAGAGCTGCAAGCTGTAAAGAATCAGACGCAGAGAAGATGTTCGCAAAGTGGAAACTACGGCACCAGCGTCACTCGGAAGTTATCAGCCCGCGTCTATGTCCCCTAGCCCAGCCGGCGCCTTCCTCACTGATCCCACTCAGGCCTCCATCCTGGGGAAATCTAGGGGTTCTCAGCCCTGTCCCATCACCATAACCCTCACGGAACCTTTAAATGGCTCTGCCCTGGGTTTCCAGAGCCTTCCCCTCCAGCAGGAGACCTTGAGCATCTACATTATTTAAGGGGAAAAAAAGTCTAAGACAATGTTGCAAAGCCGCAGTAGAAACAATTAGAGGTAGGAGTTATTGAGCCCGTCACTACGCTGACAGGACTCTGCTCCCAGGAGCGGGCTGCAGGCTTCACTGCAGGTTCCGGCTCAGGGTCTCTTCTGTCCTTTGCTTACCTGCTCCTCTCTCACTCAGACCCCCTCACAGTGTGATGCCTTCCACAGGTGAGCATGCAGCTAGAGGACCCTCTCCTTGGGCAGCCCCGCAGTCCTGGACTCCCACCTCCAGAACCGAGTCGGATTGTGCCTGTGTATAGTGCACCCAGAATGTGTGGTATCGTGAACTGCAGAAAGCAGATTTAAACAGGGAGGTTTCCTGGTCTTGATTTTACAGGTGAGAAGCCTGGGGTCAGGAGAGGCCACCGAAGCCACCAGCCCCTGTCACCTGTTGAAGCCGGTTTGCCAGGAGCCAGAGTAGCTGCAAGGCCCTTGCTTCCCTCCAATGGACCCCAGCCCTGTCCGGCCTGAGTGCCCGCCGCGGCCAGCCGCTGCCCCATGGGGTTCTCCTAGGGGCGGAGGCCTTGTCACTCACTGGCCCTCCAAAGGACCATTGCCACTTCCCAGGAGAACTGCAGAGAGGCGACCAAGGCCTGCGTTTTGGGGAGGATCTGCGGGATGCGGTCGCGGGACACAGCGTGGGTTTGATCCGGAAACTGAGCTTCAGGCGCCTTCGCACCGGCCAGGACTGGGCTTCTGGAAGCACCTGCGACTTCCCGGGCCTCCTGGAGTCTGACCTAGCCCTCCTCTGGTGCTGGAAGCGCAGCCATCCTCTTGCGGGAAGGACTCCGCCCGCGGTCCCCCCCCGCATCTTCTTTGCCCCGCGGCGGCGGCTGAGGGGGGCTGTATTTGGGGTACTCCGGACCGTCTTTAGGTTGCTCAGGGACAGGCGGAACCTTTCTCCTTCGCCCCGCCCGGGCTTCCGCCCGAGTCCCGACAACGGCGGACTCGGTGGACGGGGACGGCAACATGGAGGCGGCGCGCGGCGGGGCTGCGGACCGGACGGCTCGGGCGGAGGCCCCGGGCCCCGCGGACGACCGGCTGTTCCTGGTGAAAGGTGCGGTGCGGGTGCGCAGGGAGGGCGGAGGTCCCCGAGCTCGTCTCCCCGTCCCTTCAGTGGGCTTTCTGCCGCCCTGCCGTCGGGCCGGGACCCTCAGGAGGACCCCACGACCCGCAGGCCAGCAGGTGCCCGAGGCTGACCTCGCGGGGTTCCAACGTGATTTTGAACAGAGGAGTACCTGAACCTGCATGCATCGTTTTAAAATTTCCTTTTTTTCCCCCCTTCCCTGACCCCTCCCTTCCCCAAACTCCTGGCAGGTGGAATTTTCCTGGGCACGGTTGCTGCAGTAGGAATGTTAGCCGGATTTGTTACAACGTTATCGTTGGCGAAAAAGAGAAGCCCCGAATGGTTCAATAAGGTCGGTGGCGCGAATCTCTGGTTTTGCTTTTCATCAGTGGCAAGGGGTTTGTCTGTTCTTTGCATAGGAAGAGTTCAGTAACTGTTACTGACCTGACGTTCACGACTAAACCTACACGTGGTTATGCATTCCGCAAGTGCACTGAGTTGAGTTGAAGGTCTTTGCGTTCATCTAAAAATGCATAACCCGGGGTGTCGTCTTAGGTTTTAGAAGATGAGGCCGTGGGAATTCTCCTGGTACAGTTCCTGTTCACATCCCGACTCTGAAAGTAAAGCTAGACAGTTCCCAAGCAAGCATAAGAGTCCCGGATAGCTTACCTACTGTTTATATAGACGAAACGGTAGCCATTAAACTCCAGACACCACCGTCATTGCCAGTGGAGGAAGTATGTGTTTGTGTCATTGAAATACACGCAGCTTCCTGAATACAGGCACTGGGCGCGTCTGGTCCCTGTTGTGGAGTGGATTCGGCCCCTGAAAAAGTGCCCAGCCCAGAGTAGGTGTTTGATGAAAATTTCATGGTGTGATAGTTAGCTACTAAGCCCCAAATCCTCACCCCGCGGGCAAGATCTGGCCGTTGCCCCGGGCGCTGTGTACCTGGTGTCCCTAGTGTCTGAGATGTTTACTTAAATTGTCCGTGTGGGGTGTTTACGCCACTACCTGTGTAAGTATCATTTGGCGTGTGATCAGGAGAAAAGCATTATGGGTAAAACCAGGAACCATTGAAGATTTGTTGTTTGAAGGGCAGAGTTATAGGGAGACACAGCGAGGCCTTCAGCCTGGAGTTGATTCCCCAAATGTTGGCAGTGGTGAGGACGAGCCAGGTGGAAGCCAGGAGCTGGAAATCCGTCTGGGCGGTAGGGGTGCAGGAACCAGCGCACATGTGGCTTGTCGTTGTCACGGGCAGCGGGCAGCGGCTTATCGTGCTGCCCTGCAGGGCCAGCCCTCCCTCTGTACTGTCTGAATCCTGTGAAAGCAGCAAGCCACGTGTCTTTGTTTTGTTTTGAAAAGCAGAGAGAAAGTTCTGTTGACTGTACCAGATCACTTCCTGAATGCCTGGGGCAGGAACCCCGTCCAGGTGTCCCATGTGGGTGGCAGAAACCCAGCTGAGGAATGACTCCTCTTTCCATGGCCTGCATTAGCCGGAAGCTGAAGTCGGGAGCCGGGGAGAGGCTCCGACTCGGGTCCTCAGTTGATGGGTGCTGCAGGCTTCCTAGCAGATGCATGTGTTTCCAAGGCGAACAGAGAATCAGAGGCACAGATCTTCTGTCTGCTTGTTCACTCCCCAAGTGCCCGGGACAGCTAGAGCTGGGCTGGGCAGAAGCAGGGGACTGAAACTCCGTCTGGGTCCCCTATGTGGGTGTGGGGGCTGAGTACTGGTGCTGTTCCCCTTCTCTTCCACGGTGTGCATGAGAAAGCTGGAATCAGTAAAGTAGCCAGCATTTCAGGCAAGCGCCCTGATGGGGCATGTGGGCATTTTAACTGGTAAACCACACTCTTGCCCTGTGGGGTCGTCACGCATGTCCTTCAGGTTCTAACCCAGTGGTTTTCACGCTGGCCAGCAGATCTGTGGCAGTGCCTAAGACTCTTCAATAGGTCCATACATTGAGGACCATTTCCATAATGACACTAAGGTGTTTGAAGCGGTGGGATTAGGCCCTGCTGGTGCTTTGGCGTGACCAAGCCGGTGGCATCCAGCTGTGCACCTGTCATGTAAAGTCAGTGTTACACAAGAATGCCATTGATAAAGCAGTGAAGCCATTCATGTTATTAAACCATGACACTTAAGTATGCCTCTTTCTGATATTCTGTGTAAAGAAATGGAAAGCAGGCAGTGGGCACCTGTGTAGCAGCTGGGTTGCTGCTTGCAGTGCCTGCATTTTGTATCTGCCCGCTTCGAGCCCCGGCTCCACTGTTGGCAGACACGCGGGCAAGCTGATGCAGTGGGAAGCTGCTGCCTTCACCTCGCCTACACCTGCGTCTCGTGGCTTTGGAAGGATGAGCCGGTGCATGGAAAACCTCTCTGTTTCTGTTGCTCAGCCTTTCAAATACAGCGAAAATAAGTTTAAAAAAAAATTTAAAAAGAAACATGCATAAAGCATTGGAGCTTTTATAATGAAGTGATTTTTCTCTAGGAAAAGCAGTAGAATGCTTGAGATGCAGGCTGACCTAACTGCTGTTTTGTCACAAAATAGTTGTACTTGAAAGAGGAAGGAATAAATGATAGTGATTTACAAGTGGATATTTGGCAGATATATCTTCCAACAAGCAATTATCAGTTCACACATTCAAGTGGAAATCTTTGGATTTGTCGAATGAGCTTGACGGCCGCTCAGTACTTAATGGCACTTCAGATGAAATATTATGAGGTTATTAAGAGTGAAGTCACATTGTTGTATTTTTGCATTGCGTCAGCAGCTGAAAGACTGCATTGTTTGGTAAACCAGTAGTTCCTGAGTGATCCTCATGCATGGAAGAAAAGATCCCTTGAATGCCAAGTGGGGGCAAGCACTTGGCCTTAACGGTTAAGCAGGCGGTAGTGGGGGACTGGGTGGGACTCCCGCTTCCTGCAGCTGCACCCTGTGAAGTAGCAGTGTTGGGTCACGTGGTTGGGCTCCTGACACCCCATGGCAAGTCTGAATGAGTTCCTGGCTGTGATTCAGCCACGTAAATTACCAGCAGTTGGGAGCGTTCTTGTTATCCAGTTGTCTCCCAGAACAAAAAGACAGAATGTACTAATGGATTTTGTTTTTTTTTTTTTTTTATTGTTGCTTACACTGTATTATGTAGTACAGTTTTATAGGCGCTGGGGATTCCCCCCACCCCTCCCCATACCCCTCCCCCCATGGTGGATTCCTCCACCTTGTTGCATAACCATAGTTCAAGTTCAGTTGAGATTCATTGCTTGAAAACACATGCCTAGCATAAAGTTCAGCGTCTTATTGTCCAGATAAGTTCAGTGGCCTCTTGGGGAGACCTTCTATGGTCTGAAGATAGGTCTAACAGAGTAAAGATCCGGTCAGTTAAAAGCCCCAACAAGGCCTCAGTATCAATATACAACATTATGGAATTAATTGACATAGTAATGGGTAAACAATATGTTAAGAATAATGCGAGTTCCATTCTTCGAAACATCTGGGTTGAGACAGTATCAATGACAGGTTCAAAAAATAACAAACAACCAAACAAAAAATTACAGGTTAAATCAAGGCAAACATGTGGTATCTAATCTTTTGGGATTCACTCATTTCCCTTAGCATTATAGTTTCCAGTTGTGCCCATTTAGCCACAAAGAACTGCAATTTGTTTTTTTTAATAGCTGAGTAGTATTCCATGGAGTAGATGAACCAAAGCTTTCTTATCCAATCTTCTGCTGATGGGCATTTCGGTTGCTTCCATGTTTTTGCAATTACTGATTGTGCTGCAATGAACATAGGGATGCATGTTGGTTTGTCGTAAAACAGGTGTTTTGGATATATTCCTAGGAGTGCTATTGCTGGGTCATATGGCATGCAGATTCCGAGTTGTTTGAGTGTTCTCCAGACTGATTTCCATAAAGGCTGTACCAATTTGCAGCTCCACCAGCAGTGGAGTAGGGTTCCCTTTTCCCCGCATCCTCGCCAGCAAGCGTCGTTGGTGTTCTTGTTTATGTGGGCCAATCTTACTGGTGTTAGGTGGTACCTCATCGATGTTTTAATTTGGATTTCCCTTATTGCTAGGGAGCTGGAACATTTTTTCATATGTTTGTTTGCCATTTGGACTTGTTCCTTTGTGAAATGTTTGCCCATTTCCCTTGCCCATTTCTTGAGTGGCTTGTTTGTTTTGGTTTTTTGGTTGTTTTGAAGTTCTTTGTATATCCTGGAAATTAGCCCCCTATCGCCTATATCGTGTGCAAAGATCTTCTCCCACTCTGTGGGTTGCTTTTTTACTTTGTTGATTGTTTCCCTTGCTGTACAGAAGCTTCTTAGTTTGATGAGGTCCCATTTGTTTATTCTGTTCTCAACTGCTATTGCTTTTGGTGTCCTTCTTAGAAAGTCGGAACCTACTCCTAGGTCTTGCAGTGTATTTCCTACATTTTCTTGTAAGAGTTTGAAGGTTTCTGGATGTAGATTTAGGTCTTTTATCCATGTAGATTGGATCTTAGTGTATGGTGATAGATGTGGGTCTATCCTTTTGTTTCTACAGGCTATCAGCCAGTTGTCCCAACAACATTTACTAAAGAGGCCTTCCCACTTGCTTGAGCTATCATTGGTCTTTTTGTCAAAGATTAATTGGCTGTATTTGTGTGGGTTCCCTTTTGGTGCTTCTATTCTATTCCATTGATCTTCCTTTCTGTCTTTGTGCCAGTACCAGGCTGTTTTGATAGCCACTGCTCTATAATATGTCCAGAGGTCCGGGATTGTGATTCCCCCTGCTAACCTCTTATTTTTCAGGATGGTTCTAGCTATTCGTGGTTTTTTGTGTTTCCAGATGAACTTTTGAATCATTGTATCCAGTTCCGTGAAGAATGTTTTGGGCAATTTGATTGGAATTGCGTTGAAAATGTATATTGCTTGTGGTAGTATAGACATTTTAATGATATTGATTTTGCCTATCCAGGAGCACGGGATGTTATTCCATCTTTTGAGGTTTTGTTCAATTTCCTTTTTAAATAGTTTGTAGTTTTCTTCGAATAGGTCTCCTACGCTTTTGGTTAGATTTATTCCCAAATACTTCATACTTCTCTCTGTTGTTTTGAATGGTATCCTGTTGGTTAGATCTTCTTCCATCTTGGTGTTATTTGCGTACACTATGGCTGTTGATTTTCGTTCGTTAATTTTGTACCCTGCCACTCTGCCAAACTCTCGTATAAGTTCTAGCAGTTTCTGTATTGAGTCTCCTGGTTTTTCTATGTATAGGATTATGTCATCTGCATATAGTGAAAGCTTGACTTCTTCGTTTCCTATACGTATGCCTTTGATTTCTTTTTCTTGTCTTATGGCCTCTGCAAGTACCTCTAGG